CTGTCCTTCATCTTCCTCCTAGAGTTGAAGCGCTGCAGCATGGCGCGCGGCTGCCTCCAGTGCGTCAAGTACCTCATGTTCGCCTTCAACCTGCTCTTTTGGGTGAGTGCGTCCGCCCAGGGCGGGTGGCGGGGGGTCCCTGGGATCTCTGCTGCAGGGGAGGGGGGCACACCTGGGACACCGGACTCGAACGGATGCCCGCGGGGTCCGCGTATGGAGACGGGGGACCCCCTATCCCTGACTGGACTGGCAGTCATGGTGACCAGTGGGGAGGGTCTCTGTGGCTGGGGGTGGGGGCGCCCCTGATAGGTCTCAGCACTGTGGTCGGTGGGCTGCCTGTCTTTCTGCGGGAGGGACATGTCCTGGGGCACGTGTGCTCCTGAGAGGACATTGCTGCCCACTGCACCTTGCCCACCATCTACCTTCAAGTCCCCATGTGCTGTCCCACCCCTTTGCCCAGCCCGCCCAGGTCCAGGGGCTGAGGGGTGCTGTCCACAGGGAGAAGGAGGGGGTGTGCCCAACAGCCCAGCCACGGTGCCAGGTGGCTTCCCGTTTTCTCAGACCCCCGAGCCCCAGTGCTGAGGAGGGCCCCTACCAGCCATAGCCCCAGGAGAGAGCTACCTCCCTGCGTGTAGCTGCAGGTGGGAGCTGTGGGGAGGGGTGCTGGGGCTGAGCCCCCTGCACAGCTGGGGCAGGGCTATGGCCCAAAGCCCACTTTCCTGCTTCTTTCTGGGACACTGACTGCTTTTTTTCATGCACTAACCCAGTTGCTTTTTATATTCTGTAAGTGAACAAAACAAAATACTTGATGCCTAAGTTCTGGGAACAATCACCTTCGCCAGAATCTGTCAGCCTATCGACATCTCCCCTATATTCTGACTTCTCTTTCCCAAGCTGTCTGGGGGCAGCCAGCAGAGGCAGCTGCGAGGTGTCACCCCCGCAGTTTCTATCCCTGCTGGGCTCACCCCAAAGCCTGGTCTTCTGCCTGGGGCTCAGGGCTGTTTCTGCAAGTGAGCTGGGCCTTGGGCAGTGGCACTGGGTACCAGCTGGCAGGGCTAGTGAGCCCATGGCCACGTTGCAGAGCTGTGGCCACAGGTGGAAATGTGACAGGTGACAGGCTTCAGGGTGGGTGCTGTTGAAGGGGTCGCAGCAGTGGTGTCAGGCAGGGTCAGTGGAGGAGGGTGGGCTACATGCAGGACCCCATTCTCTCCATGTCCACCTCTTCCTTAGTGATGGGTACTCTCTCCTGGGCCCTGGGCACTTGCTTGGGAGTGCCCCGTGGACCCTAGATGGAGATATGCCCTGCTGTGACTCCCAGTGAGGAGTCCTCTGTCTTGAGTAGATCACGCCATTGGCCACTGGGGACCCTGGGTCCAACCGAAGCCCCTGCTGGCTGGCCTTGGACACCTCTCCAGCCCGGTCCTGGGGCTGAGACCGAGAGGAAGGCCAGTGCCCACAGGAGGCAGTCAGCTGATCAGGTAGGGCTGATCACATGACCCCAAGGGCCTGGACACAGGCCCAGCTTTTTCCCCAGACAAGCTAGCCTGAGAAGCCCCCTTCCTCCTGGTACCACCCCCAACCTGAGGGTAGCTCTAGGGAGCTGGGTCATGGGACCCTCCCTGCCTGCCTTCCTCTCAGGATTCTGCTCAAAGCCTCTCTTCCCAGGACACACACGTACACATACACACACACTTCCTGGGAGCTCAGTCCCCCTGGGCCTGGGGGATGGAGCCAGAGGGCTGTGGGTTTTTCCTTAGAACTGAGTTGTATCTGTTCCCTGGCGGTGCCTGTGATGGGGTCTGGCAGGATGTGGAGGTGGGAGCCTGGCAGGTCCCTAGCACAGAGCAGCCCTGTGCATCTGTCACTATGCAGCCTGGGGTGACCTGCCACATCTGTGGGCTTCGTGTGAGATCTGTGTGGTCATCATGTGCACTGAGAACAGGGCTAGCTGACAGGAGTTTCTGAACATGCCCTGTGGCAGCAGAGCCCACTCCCACCCAGGGCACACACAGTATACACACCCACAGTGCATGTGCAGCTAACATGCTCACGCGGTGTGCACGCGACCAGCATGCACACACAATGTGCATGCATCTGCAGTGCACATGCAGTGCACTCACATACACCCACACTCACATAGGGTGTGCACTCCTGCAAGCACACATCCATGTGCCTGTCCCCCAGGAGCTCTGTCCCTGTGGCCCAGAGCCCAAGTGTGCCCCTGAGCATGTGTGCACGCAAGCAGATCCGTGTGTGCAAGAGTGACACGGGTGTGGGCTGAGTGGCTCATGGGGCGGTCAACCTGTGCACCCTGTGACGGCAACTGGGCCTGGGAGAGTGGAGGGCAGAGACCCTCTGTCCCGCTCTCCCTGATGCAGGCCCCCGGGAGGGGAAGGGGGCTCAGTGGCAGTGGCTGAAGCGGGAGGTAGCTTCAGTGATGGGCTGCGAGCTGCACAGCACCATGGGACCCAGACAAGCCCTGTTCTCTTGGGTCCTCGGTTTCCCCATCTTAACCAGGGGGGGGAGGTCATGAGGGGGCAGCCCTAAGCCTGAGGACTTGAGTTAGTGCTGGCCTAGCAGGGTGGTGGACGGTTGCAGGGGCCCCAGCTCTGGCCCGGGAGTGTGTCTGGTCCCCCTATCTGGGCAGGGGTCTTGACAGGAGGAGGTGCAGCATGGGGCCGGGCTGCCTGCCGGGTCGTCATCTTGTGCCTGGAGGCTGTCTGCCCACTCTTGTCCCAGGGGCCCCACGGTGGGACGGCAATTGCACAATCCAGCCTGGGTGGTCCCCAGTGGGCAGCAGACCGTGTCTGATGCTGGCAGGTGCAGGCTCCAGGGGAACGCCAGGGCTAGCAGAGGGCCTCAAGGCTGGCCGGGCTGTGGGACCTGGGGCGACAGGCTCTGGAGTCCCCTCTGCAGGAGCTCCCACTTCTAGAGCTGTGGGACACAGACACTCCCTCACCCCCAGTCCCCACATGGGGACCACCTGCAGAGGGCTTGGGGTTGGGCAGCCAAATGCTCTCTGGCTTGTAGTGGCATCTACTCCCAGAGCCTTCCCAGGGCCCCTGTGTGCCAGGTCCCAAGTCACTGCTCAGGTGAGACCTCACAAGAACTGGTACCAAGACCAAGAACCCCAGCCAGCTCTCGGGATGGATCGCAGCACCTCTCCTGGGGGACCCAAGGGGCTGATGGGCCCTGCCCTGGTTATAGTCTCCCTTAGATGCTACTCTAGAGAATTCCTCCTCACCCTGTAGACCCAGCCCTGGTACCCAGGGCAGAGTGGACATAAAGAACTCCCCCTTCCCCTGTCACATCGGAGGACCCCTCCACCACTACCCCCCTCCACTCATGGCAAGACTGCCTTCCCCCAGCCTTTGGGCCCTGTGCACCCAGGGTGGGTGGTGAGGAGGGCACGGGGGCCTGGCGTACTGGTCTCACCTTGCACTTACTGGTCCAGTGGACGGTGTGGTGGGCTGCCTGTCCTGAAGCCGGGTTGCCCCATGCACCCTGCCCCATGCCCCACCCTGGACAGCGTGGTAGGTGAGCCTGTGCAGGGCACAGGGAGTTGCCTGCCCTTGGCTCTGTTCTGGCTGCTGAGCTGGCCCTGAGCCCTCCTGCCCCCAGCCTGCCTGGCTTGAACAGACTGGCCTCTAGCCCAGGCTGGAGAGGGCTTCCCGTGCCCAGGGTGTGGGCCATCTGCCATGGTCTCGTGACCAGAGACAGCAGGCCGAGGCTGGCATCCCGGCCCCAAAAGTCCTGGAATAGATTCAGTGGATGTCAGTCACCAGGTCCTGCTGCCTGGGCAGCAGACAGAAGAGGACGAGGGCAGAGAAGGGGTGTAGGGATGCAGTGGGAGGGCCCTGCCTGCTGCCGCCCTGCAGGGCCTGGCCCACCAGCGCTGGTGGCCTGGGTGTGAGGTCCTGGCAGGGCGTCTGGGGTGCCCCTTGTCTCCAGCACGTGGAGGCTGCACTTCTGCCACGTTTGAGACACGGACAGGCAGACGCCGGTTCAGAATGACAGGGGATGTCATGAACCGCGTGCCCAGTGAGCGCTCACGCAAGTGTGCAGGCTGCCATGTGCCTGGGTAGATGGGGCTGGGGGGCTCCAGAGGAGCCTGACACCCCAAGGGGGAGAGCCAGTGCGTCTGCTCTCCTGCGTCTGCCCTCTAGTGTGTGTGTCTGTGCTGACACCAGGGCTGGGGACAGGGGAGGTTTTGGTGACTGTGTGGGGACACCAGGGAGGGGGTGTCTTTGTGGTAGTATTTGTGAGATGATGTATGGCAGTGTGGTGACACTGGTATTGGTGACATGGGGGTGTCTGTGTGACTGCGGTGACCGAGGGTGAGAGTGGGCACCTGTGACGGGGCAAGGCCGTCACAGGGTGTGTGGTGACAGGGTGTGTGGTAGCATTGGTTGTGAGAGTACATCTGACAGTGTGGCAGAGGTAGGGACGTTGTGTCGGTATGTAGTGACTCTGGTTTGGGGGTGAGCTATGGGGCTCCCTTGCAGGTCTTCAGAGACCCTCCTTGCAGGCCTGTGCACGGGCACTGTCTCCCGCCACCCACCTCCCCCTGACCAAGGCTGGTCTGCTTCGTGCCCTTCCCACGCCCCTTCTCACCCATGGTGGAGGGGCCTGGTGCGGATGTGCTTGACCTGGGCAGCAGTGCCAGCACCTCCCCCAGTTAGGGATGTCCCAGGCTCCCCCCTTGATCTGAGCTTTGGCCCCTTGAGTTGTCAGTTGGCAGGACACAGCCTGGCAGGTACTGGGGTCCGGGTCTTGTTCCTACAGGGTGTGTGGGGTTGTCCTCTAAGCTCAGGCAGCAGGTCCTCTGCAGGAGGAATCCCAGGGCACACTGGGGACCTGCTGAGTCCCTGGCCCTGACCCCATGTGACCAGTGTCCTGTGACCATGTTGGCCTCCTACAAGGTCCAGGTGCCACACTGGAACTGTGGGAGCATCCATGCCAACCTGTTCCGGATCGCATCCGCTGTGGCCTTCGCGCTGAGAGGGGACATGGCTCTGGCCCTGCAGTGCACAGCAGACAAAGCCTCTGCTGTCCCTTGGGGACAGGGAGCTGCACAGGGATGGTCTCCTGCCCGCCCCTCCCCAGGCAGCTGCACTCCAGTATGGCTTAATGCTTCCCCGGGAGCAGTGTGCCCCTCCCCCACCTGCCCACTAATGGGCTCTCCCTGCGGCTAGGGGGAGGGGCCCTCTCTGAGTCAGGCCCATGCCTGGTGGGGGGGTGTGTGTGTGTGCGCGCAAGGGCTCCCTACTGCCGGGGGGCACCTCTGGAGGGTGGGGCGGCTGCAGGTGGGTGTGTGCGCCATCCTATTTTCCTGGGCCTCTCAACGCCCACGTCTGGTGCACGCGTGTCAGGGTGGGAGTCAGGACTCCTGGGCCATGTGTGCACTGCGACTGCTTCCCTCAACCCTGGGTGGGGGCCTGCATCCCGAGAACCCCAGAGCTTTTCCTCTGGTCCCCTCTCTTGAGTTCTGTAATTTGGCCCCATCATGAAGCTCCATGAGCTGGGTGGGGGTTGGGGGGCACCTGGAGACGTGCACGGGGTTAGAGAGGTGTGCCCCAGGGCCTATGGGCTTTGCTACCCAAGTGTGCTTGGGTGGTGGCGGCCACCACAGGTTCCGGGTCCGGGCCCGTGGGCAGCTGGGTGTGTCTGCAGACCAGGACATCCTGTTTGCCTGTATGGGGGCCTGGCTCCAAAGGGACAAAGGTGGGGTAGGGGCTCAGGTGGGGGCCTGGGCCCAGAGTGAGAGATGGTGGGGGCCGCCTCTAATAGCAGGGTGCTGGGTCCACTCTGGTTTTGGACAGCAGGTGTCCTGTGGGTGACCCTTCAGGGCCCTGGTCACAGTAAGGTTTCCCTGGGGACGGACGCAGCACCGTGGGGATCACGGGGTGGGCAGGGTATGCAGGATGTACCACCAGCCTGCGGAAGGCTCAGTGCTCTGGTGGCCCCAATGCTCCCTGGGCCCCTCAGTGCCTCAGTCCTTCCCTCTCCCTATTGGCCGTCCAGCTGGGGGGCTGCGGCGTCCTCGGTGTTGGCATCTGGCTGGCCGCCACGCAGGGCAACTTCGCCACCCTGTCATCCTCCTTCCCGTCCCTGTCGGCCGCCAACCTGCTCATCGTGACGGGCACACTGGTCATGGCCATTGGCTTCCTGGGCTGCATCGGGGCCATCAAGGAACACAAGTGCCTGCTGCTGGCGGTGAGTGTGGACAGCGACATGGACAGGGGCACGGGGAACATGGGCAGGGGCTCGGGCTGCCTGTACTGATGGCAGGTGGGGACATGGGAGACACAGGGCATGTGAGGACACAGAAGCTGGGGGCCAGGGCTTCTCACAGTGAGTGTGGGCAGGGGACAGGCGAGGGGCGAGTGGTGCCCCCAGGCTCTGCTCAGAACCTGGGGTCCTGCCTTTGAGGGCATGCGTGCACACCTGCCCACACGTGGCCTTGTTCCTCCCAGGGCTGGGGGATGTGTCCGTCCTTGGGACATTCACCTGAGGTCAGAGAAAGGGCAGCGCACGTTCAGGACTGGTCCTTGCTGGGCCAGGTGCCCAACAGCTAGGCCTCCACGTCTCGGAGCCCAGCCTGATCAAGCTGACCCGATGGTCACGGCAGCTCCTCTGGGGAGGCCCATCCACAGGAATTTTGCCAGGGCCAGTGGCGTGGTGCCCTCAGGACGGTGGGTGGGGGCTCGTGGGTGGAGTTGATGGACCTGCTAACAGCCCCCTTGCCCCACCTAGTTCTTCGTGATGCTGCTGTGCGTGTTCCTGCTAGAGGCCACCATCGCCATCCTCTTCTTCGCCTACACAGACAAGGTGGGGGCCTGTCACCCCGTGGCTTGTTACTGCGCAGAGGGCACGCTGGCCGGGCTGTGTGTGCAGCCGGCAGTGTGGGCAGGTCTTCGCTAAGCATCACCCGGATCTCTGGTGCCCATAGCATGTGGACAGACCCCATGGGGTGAGCTCGCCCAGCCTGGTCTGCCCTGCCTCTGGCCAGCTTTCCGCCCCAGAGTGGCCGTCTCACCGTTCATTTGGTGCCCGGTGCTTTGCACGCATTGGCTGTCAGCAGGGGGCAGGAGACTAGTGGCTCCGTGTGGCGCAGGCTGTGTGCCCAGGCATGTGCTAGTGCCCTGTGAGTGACTGCCCGGCCCTGCACGTCGCTGGGAACTAGCTTAGGGGTTTTAGAACCTGTGTGAGTACCAAGCCGGGCTGTGTGCGCAAGCGGGGCACTCATACCTTAGCGTGTGGAGGTCTTTCCGATGTGTGGACCGGGCACAATTCGGGTCACATGAGTCCTGTTGCACCCCCAGATCGACAGGTACGCCCAGCGCGACCTCAAGAAGGGGCTGCACTTGTACGGCACGCAGGGCAACGTGGGGCTCACCAACGCCTGGAGCATCATTCAGACCGATGTGAGTGGGCGTGGCGCAGGGGACACCCCACCCCACCTAGGGATAGCTGGCCCAGGTGTGGGAGACTGCCTGGGGGCCCCGACTGAGTGGGCAGCCCCTCCAGACTGCTGGGTGGGGTCAGTCTGCGGAGGGCTCCCCAGTGGGCGCGGCGGCCCCTCCAGCGCTGTTTCTCTGCCCCGCCCGCAGTTCCGCTGCTGCGGTGTCTCCAACTACACAGACTGGTTCGAGGTCTACAATGCCACGCGGGTGCCTGACTCCTGCTGCCTGGAATTTAGCGAGAGCTGCGGCCTGCACGCGCCCGGAACCTGGTGGAAGGCGGTGAGCGGGGTGGGGGGCTCGGGGGGTGGGGCCAGAGCCGGGGAGGCCCCTCACCAGCAGGCTGGCTCTCCCCGCAGCCCTGCTACGAGACGGTGAAGGTGTGGCTGCAGGAGAACCTCCTGGCCGTGGCCATCTTCGGGCTGTGCACGGCACTGGTGCAGGTACGGCTTGGCTCCGCACTGCGCTCTGCGCCCGCTGGGGGCGGGGCCGAGGCCGCAGGTGCACCTGCTGCCCCTTGGAGCCAGCCCCAGGCAGGACCCTGGGTGCCAAGAACGGTGGCCCAGGGGCGAGGCGGGGTGGGGCCAGGGATGAGGGCTGGCCTGCACTCCTCGAAGCTTTTCAGGATCCCCCCCTCCACCTGCCTGCAGATCCTGGGCCTCACCTTCGCCATGACGATGTACTGCCAGGTGCTCAAGGCGGACACCTACTGCGCGTAGCTCCACCCTGCAATCTGCCAAAGATCATCACCCAGACCAAGTTCGTGCCCCAGCCCCACGGACTTGCTCTGTGCCCTCCTGGGTGCTATGAGGGGCCAGGTGGGCCGGGCAACCCTCCACCCAGCAGTCTGGAGGGAGGGCCCGAGTCTGCGCCCAGGGCCCAAAGGAAGGCAGCCTGCAGGGATGGGGTGGGGTGGGATGGGGTGGGGGCACTGGGGGCTTTGGGCTTTTTATACTCGTGTACTCTCCAGAGCAGTGTTTTTACCGGTCCCGTGACTCCCTCAGAGCAGGGTCCATGCCAACCCGTACGGCTGTATCTAATAAAGGATGAGCACAGCCCTCCGCATCACTGGCCCCCACAGGACCCCACGGGTGCTGGCCACCAGCCCCCAAGGCCCCAGGCCCAGCAGAGGCGCAGACACAACCACCGCTGGCAGACCACTTCGTGGGCCCCCTCCCCCCTGACATGGAAGCTGGGCCTGGCCTAGGGAGAGTCTCGAAGCCCAACCCTGGGGCCCTCGGTCCTAGGCTCTAGCTGCCTGCCCCACCCGGCACCCCTCTTCTCAGCCCGGGGGAGAGGATCAAGCTTGTTCTCTGCTTGCTCCCAACCTGGGCCTGAGGTCTTGTGGCCACCACACCTGTCCCGCATAGGAGCTGAGGCACCCCGACACCTGTCCTGTGTCCACCATCCCCTCTGCACAGCCCAGGCTGGGCTAACTCCAGGCTGAGGGAGGCTGGGCCTGGGTGGCTGGCTTCCAGAGGGACTGAGTACTGGTCCCTGCCTGGAGCTGCCATGGACAGGGCATCCTGACGAGGGCCCTGCCTGCCCAGGGCCCACAGGTCCGTGTGGCCTCAGGAGGCCCTGGGTTGGTGGGGGAGGGTGCAGCTGGTGGCAGAGACCAGGCCAGGCCAGCAGATTCCAGATTTATTTCTCGAAGCTGCAGGTCACAAGGGACCCTGAGGAGTATGGCGGAGGGCTTGCCCGGTCAGTTCCCAAGGGGTGACTGCCAGCTCTACAGGGCATTGACCCCTAGGTTGCACCCCCCTCCCAACTGCCTCCTGGGTGGGGCTGGGTTCCCGTGGGAGGGCCCAGCTGGATGGGCGTCTGCTGTGGGTCCCAGGGGCTGAGCCCAGATCTGGGCCCCATTGGGAGAGGCCCACTGGATGCCCTTTGGGAAGGGGCTCAGCTGGTAAGCTCGGGGCTCTGAGGCCTGCCCCTTGCTTGGGGCAGGTGTGCAGCAGACAGACAGGTGAACGCCAGGCGGCCTTCTCGTCGCTCTATAGCTTAGAAGTGAGTCCTGGCCAGCCTGTGCTGTCCTGGGCGGGCCGGGCGCTGCTCACAGCAGGTCGTAGAAGTAGTCCAAGCCCTGGCCTAGCTCCCAGATGGAGAGCCCAACACCCAGCTCTTGGGCCAGGTCCAGCCGCACCTGGACAGACTGGGCAGAGGGGGGCAGTCAGTACCCCATAGCACCCACCCTCCTAGCCCTCACCCTGGGAAGCCCTGGGTGGCTTGGATAGGACTCGGATACCTGGCCAGGTCCAGCCTACCTTCAGAGTAGGGTAGAAGACAACGTGCCTCCCGCCTCGGCTTCTGGAAAAGACAGCATGACTGCCCCTGCACCTGTGCCCCAACAGCACCGGCCCAGGACACAGGTGGCTCCCTCACAGGGCTCCCTCCCTGCAGTGGGCGCTCACCACGCCCCCATACTGAGTGTCCTGTTGGAGGCCTGGCCGTCCCAAGCTGCTGCCCACGCCAGCAGGCTAGAGCACCGCCCCATGTGGACGCGCACCTTTTGTACTCAAAGACATGCTCGGCGGCCTGGCCATCCCACATGAGCTGTGGCCTGTGTTCCTTCAGCATCTGGATGTACCTGTGGGAGGTGGGTGTCGCTCAGGGGCAGCCCCTGCCCCAACCTGTGACCCAGAAACCACCTCCCTGTTCCTGAGATCCCCCCCACTTCACCCATCCACATCCTTCCCTAAGGAGTACTCACTCACCCAGACAGTGGACCCGCGCCTAGCCATGACCCCGGACACATCCACTACCCATCCACTGTGGAACAAGCCGCCTCTGGCTCCATGGGGCCCAAGCAAGGTGGCCCCTCACGGCACAGGGTGTAGACCAGGGGCCTGAGGTTTTGGACCTTCCCCAGATCTTCCCTGCCTTCCCTCCCCAGCCGGCCTTCTAGACCCCAGTCTAGTGGTTTCTGCCTCCCCCATCCCTCAGTGCAGAGGACAGGCTGTTCCCAAGATGCCCCAGGCCTGAGCTGCTGGGATTTCCAGAGTGGGGTGTGGTGGTGGGGTTCTAGCAGCATCGTCTCTAGTGACCAGTCGGGGCACTGACCACGTTTGAGCTACTGGCTGAGTTGGTGGGGAGTGGACAGAAGGCTACCGAGGGTGGTGCCTGGGGCTTGTAGAGCAGTACACCCATGGGGCCCAGGCAAGATGAGTGGACTCCTTCCTGGGGGATGGGCTGGAGCTCCAGAGCACCCCCTGTACCCCCATTTCCCTTCCATCTGTTGAGGAAAGGGTCATCTGAGCCCTGACCAGAGCACAGCTTGGATGGAAGGGGAAGGGGGGTGAGAGACCCCAGGGTTTCAAGGTGTGAGATCTCTCAGGATGGTCAAAGTAGGGAGAACTCGAGGGGCAGTAGCCTCTGAACGGCCAGAGGGGGCTCCTGGCTCAGGGCTGGGGGTCAGGCCGAGGCCCCTGCAGTTGGAGGGGACCTTGGGTGCAGGAGTCATGAGACAGTTGCCAGGCCCACAGTGGTAAGGGTGGGGCCCCTGCCACCCACAGCTCTGCTTCAGGGGGCTGAGTGCGACAGGGTCCCCATTCCCAAGTCCCGGAGGCATGTGGACCTGGGTGGACTGGGTCACTAGGCAGACGGAGCGATTCAGTGTCTGGCTTCACTCGCAGTGGGAGTCACAGCCTGAGGGGCCCTGTGTGTCTGGAGGTGGGGTGCAGGAGAGACTGTCAGCTGGAGCCCGGGCGCACACACCCTGTGAGTCACAGACCCCGAGGAAGGGGCACGCAGGGGAGCAGGAGGCTGGCTGGGTGGGCAGTGGTGCAGGGGAGGGTGCCTCCCTCTGTGGGGGCAGTAAGGGCTCTCTAGGAGGAGATGCATCCTGGGTGAGAGCCACACGGCCCTTGAGGCTGGCTCCTGCCGCCCCTGCCAGTCTGCCCTGAAGATGCCACAGTGGCTGCCACCATGTCACCATGGGGGAGCTCATCAGTACTGTGGGGCAGCGCTCCCTGAGCCAGAGCTGCAGGGCCCCATTCTGCTGCCGGCAAGCAAGCCACGATGTGTCCCCAAGGCCCCTGACTGCTGCCGGCTGCCCCGCGCTTGCTGAGCCAACATCCTGCCCCTGCAAGGTGAGGGTGGCGGCGAGTCCTTCAGCAGGACTGGGCACGAGGGCTTCTCTTGCTGCCACGGCAGACACGGCCGCCCCACACTGGCCCTCCCCCACACTCCCACTGCCTGCCCCGCCACCTACCTGTCCCTATTGCCCCTGCCCCTGCCCCCACGCCACCAGCACATCCTGTTCCCGTCCCTACCGGGAGGTGTCACCCAGTGACATGAAGCCCATCTACATCCCTATCCGATGTCACCTATCCATGCCATCCTGTGTTCCATGCTGAGGTGCCCAGCTACACTGTCCCTGCCCCCAGACTCCCATTGGCTGCCCCTCACCTGCTCCCCACAACGGGCTCACGGGCGTCCCTGGAGGCCGAGTAGTCCACGCCGTAGAAGTTGAGCCCCAGGAGGATCTTACTCCGCCACTTAGACTTGGGGTCCAGGACCTGGACACAGGCTCGCACCCAGGACAGAGGTGCGTTGGGGCCGGGCCTGCAGGTGATGCAGGCTCAGCCTGACCCCGAACTGCCACTGTGACCAGGGGGCCCCCACGCCTGACCCACACTCACTGCTGGGCCGTGGAGTAGTCGTAGGTCATGAGGCTGAAGCCGTCCAGCATTGGGGCCAGCTGCTCGAACTCCTGCTGGGTGAACATGCCCAGCTGGTGTGTCCTGAGACAATGGACAGGGCGGCGATCAGCTCAGGCTTGTGAAGGGCCCCGTACCCCCACCACCCCAGACACATTCGAGGACACGTGGGACATATACATACACGTAAGGACACATGCTCACCCAACATCCTCACGACAGACACACATGAGGACACGCACACACAGACACGAGGGCACACACAGACACGAGGACACGCACACACAGACACGAGGGCATACACACACACGAGGACATGCACACACAGACACGAGGGCACACACACACGAGGACATGCACACACAGACACGAGGACACGCACACACAGACACGAGGACACGCACACACAGACACGAGGACACGCACACACACACACGAGGAC